TGATCAAGATGGGGAACATCCCGCTCACCGGCTCGGACGGGGAGATCCGCAAGAACTGCAGAGTAGTGAACTAATAACAAGAGACGATCAGCAAATTTCAGTCATTCACTGTTATTTCTTGTTTGTGTAAACTGTGTGAAGGCACCTATGTAAGGTTTATGGGTGCAACGTTAAGCAGCTAGATGCTTAAGTAAGAAGATGAAGAATAAGGACCGTACACTTCCAGATTGGTCCCACATGTCAAACACAGTTATCGTTTTTAGGGGAAAATGGAAATTTGAAAACGTTACCGGGATGAAATGCCCCCGTTCCGTTGTCAGTACCAAATACATGTTGTATTATTTCTTCTATTATATTAAAATGACAGAAAAAAGTCAGCCACACAGACTTTTTCCCATCAATAATTGTGAGCCCAAATTTCATTACTAAAAGCAACAAAATTGCCAACGTCCAGTCAAGTTTGTCTACCACACTACCACACAACTAGAAACAATCACATAGCAGGGCTATGTCCATTGCTTCCTTCCTCCCAAAACACTCCTCACTCCTGACAAACATTAGATTTAAATGGGCAAACCGGCAAAACGTAGAATAAAATACATCTCCATTGTTGGCTAACAAAACCAAAATGGACAGACAACAACATAAGACGATAGATCAGATATGACAAATGTAATCCGGCGAGATAAAATTATCAAGGAAGAGGGAGAGGGATGGCGTCCGCACGCCCCCCTCCCCCACCCAGCCCGCCGGCCACCACCCCGGAGCCGCCGGCCACCAACCCCCCCCTCCAGCCACCCCTCAGGTAAGGGACAGGCCTCCCTCTCCCCCGACGCCATCCCCTACTACCCCTCTTACACCCCGGGGCGCTCCAAGGCCATGCGCTGGTCCTCGGAATCTGACCTCTCCGACGGAGACACCGACGGCGACTCTGCGCCGCGTCCCCAGGGTTCCACCGGCGACGCCGTCTGCCGAGGCGACTCTGCGCGCGTAGCCTTGGAGGCAGGGGCCGCTCCCCAGCCGCACTACCGTGTCGAGTCGCAGCCGGCGGAGGCCGCAGATCTGGAACAGATCCAGATCCACAAACGCCAGCGGCAAAAAAGGGGGAAACGACGGAGGAAGCCTCGCCACCAGCGACGGCTGGAGAAGCAAGATCAGCGGCCGGCGGCCACGGAGCTGCCCCGACCCACGGGGGCCCAGGACCACAGCGACGGCGGCCGCGGGGGTCGGGCGCTTGCCCATCAGCGCCTCGGAAGTCTCCGTCAGCTCGTGCACCAACGTCTGGGCCGCCGCCCAGTTCATCAACGGCTGGGCCACCGCGTAACGCTGGAGGGCCGTGTTCCGGCTCATCAATGCCTGGGCGCATATGTTCCCCGTCGCGGCCGCCACCGCATATCGCCGTCGGACGAGAACGGCTGGCGGGAGGTGCTCAATCGCCAAGGCGAGGGCCCGAGAACCCTTGGGGGAGAACAACGGCAGCGCCAACGCAAGAAGATCCCCGATGTACTGAAAGGCCGGTGCTTCAACTGCTTCTCCTACAACCACCAGACGCCACCACGCCGGGCGCCCTCCGATCGTCAAGCGCCATGGCACCAACCACATGGGCGCATGAGTGCAAGCGCCATGCTCTCCAAACAATGGCGCCGGAGCAGGCGCCCGCGTGGGACCGTTTTGTTCGGGCAAGGCGTGGCCCGAACAAATGACGGAACTCCGCGGCCTCTCAAAGCGAGTGGTTCGACGCCACCGCGACAAAGACCACGCAGGGACAACCGCTGGAAGCCCAATCCGGAGGACCGCGAGCCACTACCACCGAGCCACCCAGAGGTGCGGCCTTTCGAGGTGCTTGCATCATCGAGAGGGTGTGCGCCATCGGCGGCCGAGGAGGGCTCGAGGCTTGCGATCATCAGCGGCTGGTGGCGGACTCCACCAGGGAGGTGTCACTCGCCGACGCAGCCCGAGGCATCCGGGCCATTCAGGGTGTTGAAGAAGGGTCCTTCTCCATCAAGCCGTTCTACCCCGAGAACTTCCTCATTGAGTGCCACTCCACCGCAACCAGGGACAGGATCCTCGTCGCGACTCCACTGCCCATCGCTAGCACTTACCTGGCGCTACTGCCATGGACACGTTTGGCGCACGCGGATGCGGCCATCATGAAGTTCAAAGTGGCATTGGAGCTCGAGGGGATCCCGCCGCACGCATGGGCTGAGGGTACGGCGGCCAAGATCTTGGCCCCAAGCTGCTGGCTCTACACCACCAACCAAGCCACGGCGGCCAAGGCAGACCTCTCCGCCTACAAGATCACGGCCCTGGACGACCGACCCACGCGGCATCCCCAAGGTGGTTTGGCTGCACATCGTGGAGAACGAGGTGATTCAGGTCAGCAGCGTTTCGGGTTTCGGCAATCTACCACCATACATCAGGAGGAAGAATGTACTCAGCTACCGGGTCCTCGTCCACCTGAAGAATGTCACCGACTTCGAGCCCGACTACCCTACGCCCCCCCCTCCCCACCTGAGTCTGAGGATGGGGACAGCGGACACGACGGCAACCCGGATCGACACCACTTCTCCGGGGGGGGCCGTACACCGCATCCAGGGCTTCCGCACCGCGCGAGGGATCGTCGACGGGGAGCCGCCTGTCAACAACACCGCGGCCGCCAGCTGCAGATGGGCCTACCTCTCGGGCCAGCGCGACCGAGCCAGCCATGGCAATGTACCGCACCGGCTCATGAGCATTGTCCAACCGGGGAAGGCTGCGCAGATCATCACGCCGCGGACGAAGCTGATCTGTTGTCCTCAATCATCCACAGGAATGGGGACAGTGCCACCGAGAAGGAGAACTCGGACTCAGATCCAATGGTGCTAGAGGCGCGACTACCAAACGCACCATGTGCCTCGGCACGACACCACGGAGCGGACGTAATCGCTCTTGGGGGGATGGACCTCGTCGTCCCTGAGCGTGTGGTGGAACTTGTTTCCCCCGTTCAGCACAGTGACGCGGCCCCAACAACAGGGACAAACCCAGCAAAGTCGCCCGCAACCGAAAGCAAAGCGAGACCTTGAAATTTGAGTGCACGGCGAACACGCCCCCCCGCCAGCCGGCCTTGAGGTAACTCACAACCTTGATCGAAAGCAGAGCGAAACCGCCGCCGCCAGAGCCGGCAACGTCCCAGAACCACGGACGTTTGTGAGCTGCGCGACTCATGAAACATCGCATGGCGCGGATGTGTGGCAGCGGCGGCGCCGCTGCGTCTGCTGAACAGCACCACCCTCCACCCCTGGCGGCGAGCAGACGCCGACACCTCAGAAGCGGCGTCGCTTGAGAGATTCACGGCCAAGGTTGGTGAAACGCCCTTCACCGATCCTCAAAGAGCCACCAAAGCAGCGCGGAGCTTGCTGAAGAAGCCGCCGGTGCCAATCCGAAAGAGCGTGATCGCCGCCGCCAAAGGTGGACCATGTCCCGGCTTCCAAGAGGGGGGAAATTCTCCGATGCTAAGCCGGAGAGTCTTCGCCGGTGAACGCCGCACCCTCCTCGGCATCAAGATGCTCCTTCGACAAGCTCTTCACCGACCTATCCAACAAATGACGCGGAGGCGTTCGATGAGTCATTCACTGATAAGCGAGAGGAAGGGGAACACGGGTGGCGCGGCGGCCTGCGGCCACCATGGTCTGAGGCCCCCCACCACGAAGCTGATCATTGGATCGAAGCGGGAGCTCAGGGCCTACGTTGCCTGGCGCAAAGATGACAGCTGCCTCTCTTCTAATCGAAACTTCGATGTGCTTAATTACAATGTAGTCACCAAACAATTGTCACTGCCGTCTACGGCATTCTTGTAACATAAACCTTCCTTCTTCTAATGCAAAGATACGCACTCTCGTGCGCATTCGCGAAAAAAAAACATAAGACGATAACAGATGAGACTTCAAAGCATCCAACAATGGGAGTGGCTAAGCAGTCTCGTCAAACTGTGACAGGAGGACTTGCTGAAAGATGTTGACTATCTATAATAAACTCGACCGTGCACACTCTCTTGCACCTTTACTAGCAAAATAGAAACTTCTAGCTTATTATATTTGCCTTCGGGCTTGCTTCCATCTCCTTTCTCTTCTCTTCTCTCCAATGTTGAGCGCTTGATCATCTTTATGGCCATCACCATCTCCTCCATGGTAGGCTTCTAGCTCAACACTTGAGTATGGACATAACCTAGCTTATACAACACTTAAGCACTTGTTAGTCCACTAGTTGTTACTCAGTTATCAAAACCAAACTAGGGCTTTTAAAAGGCTCGGTGCATCAAAGCACCTCATGCGACAACCAAGGTGCCGGGAGAAGTTACAATCGCACCCTGCTACTAGAAGAAGATAATGTTGTTGGTCCAAATCGGCAAATCAAGGCCCATCATCCCGTTGGGTTGGTGCAAAGCTAATTAACTCAGTGGCGCACCACAACCACCTGTGTGACACCCTTGAGGCAAGGCATTCGGCTCCCTATTATGAGATCAAGCAAGAACAGAGTGCTATCACCGCAACGACGACGACTGCGATGGCTGCCGCGATTGCAATGACAACAATGACTGCCATGACAACCACCGTGACCATCGTGATCACGGCCACAACCAAAGTAATGATAGCTATCGCTGCTATATATGACGACTACTGCATCTGTCGCTGGGTTAATAGATCTCTATCTCCGGACCTCGACTACAACGGTTCAAGAGCTTTCGACCCTAGGATCTGAAAAGTTGGCATGTGTATTTTCATTTCAAGATAATTATTATCATGGCATGTGTACGTATTTCATCATCATGACATGTGTTCTTTTTCATTTCAAGATAATTATTATCACAAGTGATGGTGGTCATGTAGGTTGAAACTCTCTTAAATAAGGTCAAGTAATTAATTAAAATAAGGGACTTGCTAAATCACAAATTAAGGGACTTGCTAAATCACAGGCGCCTGATTTTTGCATTCTTTTCGGACGATGAACATCATCCATCTAGTCTAAATCCAACGATCAGTAATCATTCTCAACATCGACCGAACACCTTCACGCTTCTTTGGTAGTCCCATCTTCACTTTCAGGCACCTGTAGGATAGGAAATGTGTTAAATTAATTGTTAAATATTATTTCGAGTAAAAAAATGAAAATAATCCAAATTGGGTACAAGAGTTAAAACTTGACTAATAAATGGAATATGATATAAATCCAACTTAACTAAAAGCAAAAGGAAACAAAGGGAAGGAAACCCATAAATACATGAAATATAAAATATTGGTCTATTTAGCCTTCGATTAAATAAAAATTTACTTAAACACTTCAAAATATGGTAACATCGAAAATAAAGTATAAGTTATGCACACTACTAGAGGAGGTGGGCAGGGTGGTGCTCCCTGTTGCCTGTGAGGCTCCTGCCATCCCTGATTCCTAGCCTGATTCTGCAGTGGTGGAAGTTGCGCTCTGGTTGCCACACCCATCTGCCATTGATTCCTGAAGCATAGCTGCGTAAGTCTCCCTCTCGCCTCCTCTACCCCAAATATCCTTCGCAAAGCTGATATCACTGGCGATTTCTTATATCTATCTGACTTGCGCACTGGGAAGCAATCCTCCAGTCTGATATGATTTGATTCAATCAGATCCTTCCGAACCCAGTAGAGCTGGCCGACGGGGATCGTGGTGAAGTCCGAGGTGGTGGTGGTAGGGGAAGGAACCCTAACCCTACCGGGAGGTGGCGGTGAGTCAATTGCCCATAGTTGGATTGCTCAATCACCTCATCTTTGTGGATTTCGCTGCCACCCCGGCCCGACCCGCTATCCTGGACAGGGTAAGATTCGGACCTACCCCATCTCTGACTGGTGGAGAGGAAGACGACGATCTCCACTGACACTTGGACCCTGCTCCTCGCTAGGACCTCATGGTCAGCCAAGGTGGGTGCGGCCATGGCGGTGGTGGATCAAGTTCCCCTCCGGTCCTGCCGTGTGTCCTTCCCTCCCGCGTGTCGGCCATGCCCGTCCAACTATTTTTGGCAGGCTGTTTACATCTACGTGTAGCCAAATCCGCAGGCAGCATATGCCTACTTTTGTAGTTCTGGAATGCCAGACTACCTTTTCTACCAAAAAAATAAAATAAAAATATATATAAACACCACTGAAATGGGCCATTCTCGAAAAGCAGACTTTGTTCCAGTATAAGCGTGAATTCAGAGATTACACGACTCAGGCTAGAACTTGTAGCACTCATGGGGGATGGTGCGTCAAGAGAATTTTGAACGTTTATAATGCATGGTAAATTTTAATAAATGTATAAAAGAACTGCGTGTCCATATATACACTAGGAAAATATTGGTTCATATTCCATTCTGACGGGCTTATGGACAACAATGGTGATACAAAATCAGTATATATATCTGTTTTTGCTCTACTCCTGAGTGCAGCTTCCTATATGAGATATAGCCTTCTTTCATGTATATATACCAAATAAAATAATCCAAGGTGTACAATAAGAGAAAACTCTACGTTATCCCTCTTGTCCATAAAATGGCAAGACCTGCACAGCGCACATATTTCGATCACGAAAATTTATCATTAAAATATGTAATATTTCCTCTATTCCAAATTATAAGATGTTTTGGCTTTTCTAAATACATAGGTGTCAATATGCACTTAAATATATACTATGTCTAAATATATAATAAGCCTAAACATTTTATAATTTGGAATTGAGGGGGCAGTAACATGTGAAGTGAAAGAAAAAAAAATCGTATGTACACTTACATCTATTTCAACTTTAACATACTAAGAAACGCAACAAGCCGGAAGAGCACACCGTGGAGCATAATAATGGTGATGCAAAGATTAAATTCGTTGATATCATAGCCCCCTTGGAGCAATGCTCCACATCTAGTGATCAGCCACACACCTGAATACCTGAAGACAAAACTGCGTTAGGCAAAAGATGGGAAAGCTTGACATTGCTTATACAAGTTTAGTAATGGTGGTTGAGTAAGGAAATCGTAGAAGTTCAAAAAAATATTGCACTCCCTTCGTTCCAGATTGTAAGACGTTTTGGCTTTTCTATATACATTGTTTTTACTATGTATCTAGACATAGTGTATATCTAAGTGCATAGCAAAAGCTATGTATCTAAAAAAGCCAAAATGTCTTATAATTTTGAATGGAGGGAGTAATTTAACAATTTTCTTTCTCGAGAAACTCTAACTCCAATTTTTTTCACCAAAGACAAACATACATACACTGAATGACCCAAAGACAATTTGAGAACTAGTTCAATAATTTCAGGTTATATGATGATGACAGTTGAGTCAAAATATAGGCTGTGTAACACCTGAAGTTCGCAAACATGAGATCTTGGCTAAATGTAGTGGTTCATAGCTACTCCCTCTGTTTTTTTACATATCGTATTAGTTATGTCCTAAGTCAAACATTTCTATATTTTACAATAAATTTTTAAAATATTGTATACGTTAGCAACATAAGATTTATGTTTTAGATTCACTATAAGAAATACTTCCATAATATACAGTTCACATGTTGTGAAACTACATGGATTTTTTAAAACTGATGGTCAAAGTTAGGAATGTTTGACTTAGGACAAACCTAATAAGACATGTAAAAAACGGATGGAGTAGTGTCTTTGAATGTGAGAATTCTGGACTTTTTCTTGTGCATGAATAAACAAGGCGATCATAATAGTTTTCCTGCTATGCACACATTTGATTAACAATGCCATAAACAAGTTCTTTAACTACAGGATAACAGGATGACTGCTGATTAAAGAAACAGAATACTAACTCTTTTGCTCCTGCAATGATGAATGCTTCTAGAGCCCACTTTGGATAGCACAATTCCCTTATAACCCGCGGAAGGTCTGGTTTAGCGCCCACCAGGACCAGCACAACAGGTACTATTGCAGAACTCTGCAACAGTATAGTTCATTAGCCACCTTCTATACAGTTAATATCATGATTTACAAAAAAAAGATGCCCTACTTACCAACTGCGCTAATCCGAGCTCAAACCAAATAGCAAAAGTGTAACCTATGCGGTTACACAATAAATTAGGCCAGCAAAACCAAATAATTGTCTCTAAGAGTCGACCGAGGTTGTTGAAGAAATAAAATGTTGAAAGAAAGATGATTGGCTTAACGGCAGTATTGGAATGATCAATAGTATCTCTTGCAAGAAAGTAAGCTAGAGAGCTCATGCCGGATTGTCTCTCCCTCCAATATTGCAATTTTTCAGGTGAAAATGACCGCAATGACGCAAGCTGGCATAACAGTGCTGCAATAAGCACATTAACATTAGCTAAAATGTTACTGTAACACATCTTACAGGGGACAAAAATTCCATTGTAATTATAATCAATAGATTGGAAAAAGGGATAAACTTTGCTAAAATTTTCTGTGACTGAATTAACAATTAAGACTTATGGGGTTATGGTAGGATTCCCATTGTCAGACAGTGCACTGTTATGAACATGAGTTTGGCTGTGACTTGCCTATTGCTAATTGATGAGTTGTTATAGTTAATAAAGAGAGTGAATAGAGGCACATATTGGAAAAGGAAAGAACAGAGATACACAGCCATGGACAGAAAAAAGGTATTAGTTTGTCTTTTTTCGCTTGTGCTTGTATTATATCTGATAAACATGTTATCCTGAAAATCGTGCATTTAAAAGTGTCATAGCCACTATCAGCTCGTGAAATATACATATCTTGGTGAGTGGGTGTGTCTTGTATGGGTTCCTTTCCCATTTTTTCTTCTTAATATAATGATGCACAGTTCTCCTGCGTGCTTGAGAAAAAAAATATACATATCTTATAGCTCCTGTTTCAATGTTGTATTGTTTGCTAGGGAAAAAAGTTCACTTTTGGACCCTGGCTAGTCTATACTGAACAAAAAGCATAACATTAGTTTATTGAAAACAAATTCAACTTCCACAATATCTTCGCTCTCCAACCACCTCAAGTAAATATGACAAGCAAAGATGCAAGAGGAGGAGACATATTTTTCAATTTTAATTCAAATTAGAGAAGTTTTAAGTCGAGATAGCAATGTGAGAAGAGGTAGAGGAAGACCAAAGCTGACATGGGAGGGGGCAATTAAAAGAGATTTAAAGGGTTGGGATATACCTAGAGATCTTTGTTTGGATAGGAGTGCTTGGAAAACAGCTATTGACGTGCCTGAACCGTGACTAGGGGCTCATGTTGGGTTTCAACTCTAGCCTACCCCAACTTGCTTGGGACTAAAAGGCTTTGTTGTTGTTGTTGTTGTAATTCAAATTAGAGAAGCATAATTACAATGATATTGATATATCATGAAAGATTAAGACCTGTGATAGAAGTTAGTTTATGTTTACTAAAAGCTATTGATAATTTTATAGGATCTCCATAAGTCTATCGTAACCACTTTTTTCACAACAAAGCAGCCTTTTTTGTTCCTTTGATAGTTTATGTAAATTTACTAATCTGGAAACAACAAAAGATGCTGACTTACAAACTGCCATTATGGTATATCCATAAGAAGCTACACCGAATGAATCATCTCGAACTCTAGCAATTGTCCCAATGCATATGCCAGCAATACACAATATTAGGTAATCAACGGCCTGCTGTGTAGCTTCACGCAACCGTTGCTTTGCTACCCTGAAACATTTTGACAGTATAGTCACAGATTGATTCACAAAACATGCGGGAAATATCACAGAAAACAATTTACCTCCCCAAATAGTATCCGTATTGTGCAAACACACCAGGTGTTTTCCTTTCCAGTAATTCATTTGATTGACTCAGATTACGGTGCACAGAATCTGTATTTTCTGACTGTTCTTCTGAAGACTGTTCGCTAATGGACCGAACAGTATATAACTCACGAATTGTATTGATATTCTCAAGGTCCTTCTGCAAATCATCTGGAACTTCATAACCATTATGTAGCATCCAAAGGAGTGGCAAGTGTTTAGGAGTGACATTTCCCCTCATTTTTGTCTTTACTATTCCCTCTAAAATGTCAATGAAATAGTCTGGAGGATTCTCACGGCCTGGCACCTTGATCCCCAGACCTGCGAAGTACGTTTCAACTTCATATATAGGTCCATGATAAGCAATAAGGCCACCTCTTGCCAAAAGGACAAAGTCATCAAACATGTTGAACAAAGTATAGCTGTGTAAAACATTAACAATTGTCAAGCTTATATGTCAATAAATACAAAAGGAAGCAAAGAAAAGATTATTTAAGTTTTTAATTCAGCCCTTTTTGGGTATCCGATCACATGTATTTTCTGAGCACTAGAATGTATGTGGATGTTTTTTTTCACAAGGTGTTAGCACGAACTAATAGGTGATCTCAGACAAGGAATGCAAAGCTTTTTTCAGGCCCATTGACCAATGGATGTTACAGATATTTATTGGAAAGCTTTGCACGCATAAGCAGAATCGATTTTAGTTGAAGATAGGGAGGGAGCACATCAATTCATACTGAAAGGAGACAAATTGATGATTTAATGTTAACGACATACCTTGGTTGGTGAACCACTGCACAAACATTTACACCTTCAAGTGCTTCATGTCGAAGTGCCCTTAGAAGTAGCTGAGAGGAAGCACTGTCTAAGCCTGTAGTTGGCTCGTCTAATATCAGAAGAGATGGTTCCATAACCATTTCAATCCCAACATTAACACGCTTCCTTTGTCCTCCGGAAATGCCCCGCTTCTCCACTGTCCCAACAAGGGAATTTCTAATTTCTTGAAGCCCTAATGATTCAATAACCCGTTCAAGAACCCTAACCTTATCAGATCTTGACATGCCTTTGCTTAACCTATTCCACAAAATAATACTGATTGTTATAATAAACGATTTACTTTAGGAAGATACAAAACAATATATATGGAAAGAGTTACTGGGATCAACTACATTGCATTTTTTTTCCTTGAACGACGAAGAGCTGTGTGTCATTTCATTAAGAGAGAAAGAAGTACAAAGGAGAGGCAAAGCCTGCTCCAAGAGAGACCCCTGATGCAGGTACAGACGTCCTGCTCCAAGAGAGATCAACTACATTGCATTTCTTTTATACTGACATAGCAAACACATAAGGCTATTCAGGTCATCACATAGGCACATACTCGCTCGGGTCAGAATTAGATGACATTTTGGACAGCTAATTTGACCTGCAATTAGTTAAAATGTGCTGTCGGAAATATCAACTATATCTGGTGGAGGTAGTAATCGATTCAAGCTTAGAGCTATGTAGCATGACTACTTTATGCATCTAAAGACAGGAATGAAATTTAAATACTGATCATATACCTTTTTCAAAAAACAAATTATGATATCTCTAAAACAAATGAATATTGTGTCTAACATGTGGCATGGATCAACCATGAGAAACAATATTATTACAGCATGCGCATCAGGTCTTCTCTCTGTTGATAAGCCATGAAATGCTATTTCATTGTTTCTTATGGCAAGTTTAAAAAATGAACATTGCAAGTTAAAAAAAAACGAGATCCAACCTAGTATGAACTAGGCGGTTTTTCATTAAGAAGAACATTGCAAGTTAGAAACTCCCTTACAGGGAAAAATTAATTAAAACTAGTTGTACTTCTTGGCACTGCCAAAGGTAATAGTAATAAGTTTTTTTATAAAGGTTGTACTAAAACAGATTAGTGGAACAGAAAAGGAATAGACTCAGAAAGCAATTAAACTTTGTGTTTTCTAACAAATACCTGCAACATGAACTAAACCACAGATTTTCCTCGACAGTCAGGTTCCCATGGACAATATCATCTTGAGGCACAAAACCAATGATCTTCTTATATGACTTCATTAATCCAGGTAACCCATTTATAAGGACTATCCCATCCTTCTTGTACCCAGACGTTTTACCTAATACAGCATTGAGAAAAGTAGTCTTTCCTGCTCCAGAAGGGCCCATGATAGCTGTTACCCTACCTGGTGAAAGTTTTCCTGTAACACATTGCAGAAGTTTCTTTTTTCCAATAGATAGTGTTAGACCTCTGAAAGCCACTTCAAGTGTTGGCCTTCGTGGCCTAATTTCAGTAGCTAGAGACACCACTCCAGAGAATGTTAATTTATCATTGTTTATCTTCATAGCTCTATCCGTGTCTGCCTGATTATATGCACGTCCGAACCTTTCAGTGGGAACCTGAGTTAGATATCAATAATTTTTGGATTTGTTAGCATTAGCTTCAGTGCCATTTAGAACTCCAGCGGATGATGTAGCCGATTGCTCAGGTGTATTGAAAGACTCAGGCATTTCTTACCTCATGCCGAAGTACAAGTTCTTTTGCTAATTTCCATCTTTCACGTGCTGCGGCTGATTTATCTGCCCTTTTTGCAGCCTTTTTACGAGATCTAGATGACATTTTTACTTGAAGTGAAATGAATAGGCCAGAGCAGTTGTATACCAGTAGCAAAACAAAGCCCAAGATAGCCTGCAAAGAAGATCAGAAGTACAAAAGGAGTATTATTAGAAAAACATAATTAAATAATGAAACATCCTTGCCAACAATTAAGAGAAATATGTGACAAAGATATATTACATATCCAAGCATTACAATGAGAATAATTCATAAATCCTATTTTCAAGTGAAACTAGAATAATACCGTGACGCATTAGCCATTAATTTCCAACTAGATAATACTTTTATAGTTTTATGGATCAAAGAGTATTAGTTTATATGCAATAAAATGTTGCTAGAAAATGTTCCTCAGTAAGACAAGAATACTTGTAATGTTGTGATTCTTGGGCATTAATCCCAAGTCTAACAAAAAATATATATGTGCATCACATGAGTACAAGTTAGTGATGTACCAGTAACAGAATGTTGCTAAGAAAATATTTCTCAGTAAGACAAGATGTTTTGGAAATAAAATTGATATACATTTTATATGTAAAGTCAAATTATGGCTACAGTATAGAATAACAACACTTTTAATCCCATGATGAGGTTGTCTGAAACAGTATTCAGTAAGAGTATAAGATTTAAAGCATCACTTTTGCATACTCCATTGGAGTTGTGGGTGCATATATCAATTTCGAAGTCTCAGACAAAAATACAGCACTTAAAGACAAAAAAAAGGGAAGACAACGTGGACAGACATGCTACTTACAATTAATATAATGCCATATAAAGTCAAATCTTCTTTTATCGCATTATCCTTGCAAGTGTTTTTCCAAAAGCACTCTGCAAATATATGTGCCATTACTAAAGATCCATAAACACATTCAATAGATTAAATAGTGAAAACTGTAAATCCCTACAGTTTGGACAAAGTATTGCAACACCATTCCCTATCACATCAAGTCTTTGACATGACGGACATCTGGACTATGCAACATTTAATCAAAAGAAGGTAGTTTAAACCATAAAACTAAAAACTGGCACGACTTTTGCATTTAGCAGCCACTGCAAACCACTGGTTAGGATTTCAGGTACTCATTCTGCTCTAGAAGAAATGTTTGTGTTGGAATCATAAACAAAACTTGATGGATCATAAGTTAGAACAAAAGGAAGTGTAGTAGGCAAGTAATAGTTCTAAACTGTTGCTTCTAAATGAAAATTGTTAAAAAAAGATATGCATACTCTTTTCATCGGTGGAACCTTTGCGGCAATAGTGCCTGCACAATACAAAGTGACAAATAACAATTAGCAACGGAACAAAATATCACCATAATTATGGATAATGGCATGTAAGAAAGAGACAGTACCCGCTGCTGCAATTGTATTTCTGGGTTGTGGTTGGACAGTAGTGCCCTGGAGGGCAGAAGACATCATTAGTTGTAACAATATCAGCCCAAGAATCTGCTGTACCACATGCAGTGTTCTTTCCTGGAGTTACTTGGTAAAAATACCTGGTATAGTTTCAGAAGGAAAAGAAAAGTCAAGTAGTCAAGTGCTGAGAAAAAATTATGAAGAATATTAAATGACAAATAAAGTGTTGGAAATGAAAAATCATCTTACGGATCACAAAGGCCAGTAGTGTCATTCAATGTCCCAAGAGGACAATAAGCACCCAAAGGACAAGCTGGAAAAAAGTTGAGAGTGAATTCAAAGCAGGTCAGCAGAAACAACCATGAATGCCAAAAAATAGAGTGGTGAATAATTATAGAGCGAAGCATAATCTTGAGAGATAGAACAAGTTCAGGAAAAATATTTCACATATAGTCTCAACTAAAATGTTTTCCTCATTTGTAATTGTGAATACATCGCCTTAATGCATCGAAAGTTTAAAACAAACAAAGGATTTACTTTTTGCATATTAGAACTTTCCTCAAGAGAATTTGAACAATGTTCGAATTAATAGGGCCTCCCACAATATAATACCATTGGTTTTATGCAAAATGAATCCAGTATACTTGGCTAGGTTTGTTCAAAGAAAACTTACGCATCATGCATGTCAGGCCCTGGGGGCAGAAGAAACCCGGACAACATGGCCTGCAGCTCTCTGCTCTTAGTGGAAACGATTCAGCGGATGATTCATCAGATGGTTCAGTGCCCGGTAACATGCAAGCCCAGCCGGGCTGGCACCCGAGTGCCCATGAGTTTTGGTTGCAGTTCAGACTTATCCTGGGGTTACTGCGACTGCTAGCGTCAGCCAAGCTTTTGATGTATAACTGTATTTCAGCTGTCCCACACAGCATTGAGGTCATTTGCCCTGCACAGATAACCGTTTTATGAAATATTCATGAACACCTGCTTTAAGAATCCTAACGGACAGGACAGTAGCTCAATTCAGCCTGTAATGAAAATATGCACTACTTCATTAAATATTAGGCATGTTTCATAATACTCCCTACATTCCAAATTATGGTTCACTTTAGCTTTGTCCTAAGTCAAATCTCTAACTTTGACCAACTTTTTAGAAAAGGATATTAACTTTCAAGTAAATGCGCAGAGAATTTACTAGCTGGAGAATAAAATGGAACTAGTTTGGTGTTATAAACATCCGTGCATTTTTCTATAAACATAGTTAGTAGAGAAGTTCGACTTAGAAAAAAGCTAAAGTGAATTATAACTTGGAACGGAGAAAGCAGTAAAACAAAGCAAACGGTAGTGCTAGTTCAGAGGGTAGAATCTTCCATCAGCATTTTAATGAAAGCTGAGTATTGGTATCTCCTGCTCATCAGAAATTCAGCATAAACAAAAAGTCCCAAAACCAATTGCATACTTTTGCAAACCACCTAATCCCTTCTCCAGTTTCTACCGCCAAATGAAGATGAACAGATCCTGCGAAGTGCAAACCCCTCAAGCATTCGACCTGCGAGTTCCTCTTCTACTACGAATCCTAAATAGCTGGTGCATATGCAAACTCCCGATTGGACACTCAGGTGTCCATTCACAACAGGAACAACTTAGCAAAGCGGCCGCCAATTGCGGTGGCGTTAACCCCAACCCTGCTCCTAAGAATGAAGGGGAGGGGATCGGTAGTTGGGTTCGAGCAAGCATACCGCAGCATGCAAGAACCCTCCGTCATGCCCCTAGTCTCGACCACGGGCTCCGCACGGTGCGGCTGGAGAACGGACGGGGCGGCGCTGGCCGCGGCGGCGGCGCCCTCGGGTGGGGCGGCGAGAGGAGGCGGAGGCGTCATTTCGGTGTCCCTGTAAAGCTGGCCCCACTTGGCAGTGATTCGAAAAGGCGCAGCTGAGGTTTTTATGCTTTGCTAACCGAAATACCTCATGGTCAGCGAACGAGGTTTTTTTCTCACAATAAATCAGCATAAGTCAAATTTCAGCGAAATGAACAGGACAATTTGTGCGAAGAGTTTCAAACATGGAGTTAATTTAAGTTGAGTTTCGCCATTTCAGTTTATTGTACTATTGTCTCTTCTACTGTACACACATTTCCAAACACATCGAACATGTGTACGGGGCATGTGTCCTTAAGTGAAAAAAAAAAGTTCACCTCGCAAGGAGCCAACACTCCAAATGGGATTTCTCGTACCATATATGTATACTATGAATGGATCCTAAAATGCTCAAACCCAAGCACGTTCGGCTTACCTCATATCCGGTTTGTTCGGCTTCTTTTTTCAGCCAGAACAGTATTTTCAGCCAAGATTCAGCAAGCCGAACGGACCATATACCCCTCGCATGATAATAATTCAAATAACTACACAAACTGATTATACCCTGCTGTAACTCGGTCAATGTTTGTATTTGTACCTCTGGTCTGCTCCATGCAGTCGGAGGCGAAGCTGGGGTCGGAGGTGTAGTCGAACGTCTGGTTGAAATCACTTTGCCTGCAGACTCATCATGGAGTGTTGCAACCTCCAAATCAATTTCCATGGACCTACCGACTCACCCACTCACAGATTGATGCATGGCATGGAACTAGGAAGGAAACGGCCGGGAACAAGGCAACGTACGCGTCAGCCATGCAGAAGCCGTACTTCTTCTGCAGCTCGGCGGTGAGCCTGTCGCTGACGGGCCGGAGCTCCTTCTCGAGGTCCTGCGGCTGCAAGACCGGCAGCGGCGGCGCGCCCTTGATCACCTGCGCGATCGGCGGCGGCGCGCGGTCGATGACGCCCGGTGGCTGGCATCGCGCCGGGCGGAGCAGCGACAGCTCAATGGCGGCGACGACAGAGATGAGGAGGAGGAGGCAGCTGGCCCGCATGGCGGCTACCTGCTAAGCTAGCTAGCAGTCAACCACGGCGCAATCCATCGAGCGGGGACGACGAAATATAGTTCGCATCGAGACGCGGTAGTGTGTTGTTTACGTGCGCTGTGCCAATGCAAGACCGGGCCTCTGTCGGACACGGTCAGGTAGAGGTGCCTGCATACGAAATTTCGGATGGTGGTGCCCAAGCTTATCTGAGCCAGTCTTTCACTTTGACTTTCGTGCTTGTTTTGTTTGCAATCGACACACGAGGATTCAGCAGTTTCAATTTTATTATATCTATATCTATATCTATATTTTATTAAAAACAAAAATGTCTTCTTCGTTTTATTATTATTTTTACTTCATAAATGCCCTCATGCCATCCGTGTTTTATATGTGATACAGACTTAACACTCGTACTTAGTATATATTAGTACAACTCGCGTTCAACGATAATCCGAAGTCTAATTGTAAGATATATTAGATTCCATTACAACATATAGGTACATATGTCTCTTAGACACCTTTTTGTACACCTGTCTTTTTCTTTAACAAAGTCCAGTAGGGACGTGTCCCTCTTGTGTTGCCTAAAAAAAATACGTTTGCTAGTTATATATTGTGAGTCCTATACATACATAAGTGAGTGGCATGGTCCTTCCTGCACGTGTGTCTTCAACTGTATTCAACGGAGTAAAACGTCTGAACTTGCATAATAAATCATTAAGGCAAACACGAAAATTCTACCAAGTTTCTCAACGAAGGCATGTTTGTTCAGCTAGAGCTTTATATATAGTCCGTAGCCGATTTAACTGACTTGCCGAGAATTGTTTACAGATCCACCTACTGTACATTAGTTCCTACCAGATTATGTTACTCACCGAGGCTAATCATAAATATAATGCATGGTCCACATGCAAGTGAGATAAAAGAGGAGGCTATAAGCCAACAGCAGCCCTTATATTAGGCTTTCAGTTCTTTTATTTACAATCTATATTTTCTTACAAAACCACAGCTTCAAGCCACCTCTTTTGTAATCCCTGGCTAAAACAAAATACAGCTAAGTTAGTTGAACAGAATAATTATTTATACAGAGTTTAGATTGTTTGCTTTTCATTCATAATTAAGTTTTTTCCAACGACATGATATGGAGCAGAACAAACCAAAATGCACAAAAGCGTGCTGGAGCTAGCTGTGGGAGTATGCCAGGCATTTGTATTTACTCAACAGCATAGGGCCATCATAAGGTATCATGAAAATATTGGTCTCACTGCGACTGTAGTTGGGTTTTTTTTAACATGTTCACTATTCTTTCAGTGAAAGGCGATGTGATATGCACGCCAATCTCAATATATGATGGCTCAGTCTCATTCCCAGTCTTTCGAAGATGCCCGTAGAGGTAAGATGTGTGTATTCATAAGATTGAGTGTATGTACATATATGAGTGTTTGATTCACAAAAAATATGGTCTTATTAAATACTACACTAGTCTATGAACCCATGATACTAATAATTTTAATAGACATAGTACGGCGAGAAGCATTTTTAGAGACGAGCATTTACAGGGGTGATCGCTTGCCCATCGCATCCCTACCACTACACTATAAACTTACTTGTAAGTGAGTATATGATGTTATTATCTTATATTTCATAAAGTGAAGACTGAATATATTTGACCGCTAATTGATTTAAATAAAAAAAATTCAAATATAAAGTTTTAGATAATGTGAAACACTATAACTTTGCTATAGGACATGTCTTCACTCGAAATTGTTTGAAAAAATTCAAAAATTTGATTCGAAAAATATGAGAATTTAAAGCAAATACTTGAAGCTCTAAACGACATCAAATAAAAAACTTTTTAACTACAATATTGTAGATAGCATTGAGCACTACATTTTTTTATTGAACCTGTCAACATTAAAGGTCATTTGGAATATTTAAAATTTTATTTTCAAAACATAAGAATTACGAATCTATATTTGGGACTCCAAACAACCTAAAACTTTGGTGGAGAACATGTCAACATCTGAAATCATTCAAAAATTCTAAATTAAATTTCAAATTTTGAGAAATTTAAACAAATATTTGGGACTCGATACAATTTAAAATAAAAACATGTTAACTACGAAGTTGTAGATCATATTATTCCGTACAATTTCGATATATAAAATCCACCTTCATATGTAAAAAATTATAAATTATTTTTAATGCATCTATTTATAAAGATATGTCTCTCAAGAGTGTCACCTCTGTTAATAGCCATTTCAAAAGTGGACATCTTGAAAAGTTTGTCTCTATTAATCGATTAACAAAGGCAAGTGTTGTAAGGTAACCATAAATAATCAACTAATAGAGGAGGTTGCTTGCCTCTGTAAATGATTATTTTTAGCAGCCACCTCTGCAAATAGTCACCTCTGCAAATTGTATCTCCATGTGTGCTTGATATACATTTAGTGGAAACCTTAGTTTGGCATGAATAGCTAATTTAGATGTTACTTTAGATTCTTTTAATAGGGATGGAAGTAGGTAATTTATGTGAAATTTTGGGTAGTTAATTTAGATTATTTTTTATAATAGCATAGATGCGTCTGAAAGAGAGTATTTTAAATTATTTTCATATTTTATAGTGATAGCCGTGTAATCTAGATACAATTTTATATTTGACGGATATGAGACTACTATAAAAACAGTTTGAAGGATGTTTCTATTCTTTTTTTAGAATCTTTAGAATTTAGTAATTTATTTCTAGCACTCTCATTCTCTCATGAAAAGTAACGTGGAGGCTCTACTAAAAACATGGTGATAGAAAATGTGGGTACAATTGAAAGTCTATTGGAACTTTGGAAGTGCGTGTCACGATCCTCGTTGCACGAGTGTTTTCACCTGTATACACGCCCCCGTCAAACAGCTTGGCTACCGGTCCGGCCGGGTACGTACTTTGGAATTGGATAAATAAACAATGGAGAAAGAGGCAATTCGGTGAAGGTTCTTGATCTTTAGCCGCCACAGGTATAATGTGTTTTTTATGGAGTTGGCCGTTGTTGTTGAACGAGCTGACGATACCAGAGGGAAGGTACAGAGAACGTGAAATTTTTGTATTTTGGTCCTTTTTAAAAACATTTTTTACAAATAACCCTCTGGCGAAATATTTTTTTGGAAATAGACCAAACACTCTGCATATTAGGACATAACGCAGTGGTTTGTGCCTCGGCGCAGTGTCAGTTGACGCCGAGGTACCGCCACGTCAGCGCTGACTCTGGTCGTATTATTTACCGTGGCACTGGGGCCCGCAGAGCTCGACGTGGGCTTAGTTAACGCCGAACTCCATACCACGGCGCGGCCCGATTCAACGCCGAGGTCTGGACACATAAGGCCACACCGCGGCCCCCTCACTGGGGCTCGCAGATCTCGGCGTGGGCTTAGTTAACGTCGAAGCCCATACCTCGGCGCGGCCTGATTCAACGCTGAGGTCTGGACACATGAGGCCGCATCGCGGCCCCTTCTTCCTCCCTCCCTTCATTATTCTTCTCTGTTGGCCTTGGCTCCTTCTTGTCTCTCTCTCTCCCATCCGCCCCCAACAAACCCTAACTCCCAAATGCTCCTCTAGGCGGCCGGATCTCGCCTGCCGAGGGTTCCCCGAGGTAATGCTCCTTCCCCTCTTCCAATCTGTCCACATAGATTTACTTGCATTGTCTCTAAAATTGTGGAACCGTGGGGGTATGTTGCTATGGTATTTTTATAGATGTATTTGTGTAATGTATGACTTAGTTTGATTTGGTAGGTCATTTTAGGTCTGTTTTTTAGGTTGTCCTTGTTAAATATTGGTTAGTTTGCCTAAGAGTTGTTAAATTGACATTGGGGTTTCATGTTGATTGCCGTACAAAGTACTATTGTTAATTATTTGGTGTATGCTATAATTGTAGTAGGCATCGGTGTGTTAATTAATACCTAGTGGTAAATTTAGTTAATTGTTTTATTGATTTGCGTATTACTTATGTCCAATTTGTTATTAGTTCGGCTCTGATTGAATGATATTAGCTTGATATGTGACAACATTTGTTGTGTGATGGTTGTAGATGGATAAATTAGTGAGGTTGCATCATAGAGTACGTGTTGTTAGGACAAGAGATGATAGTGTTGAATTTGAGAACATATTTGAGGATGTGTTGATTTTTTTTGAGTCACCTTCTTTGACCCAGTTAGTGGACCGAGTGAAAGTAAGGTTAGGTTGGTCCAAAGGAGACGTGCTTGTTCAGTTTGAAGGGGTCATTGATGTTGGGTCATGTAAGGGTCCACGCATCAAGAGGTTGCTCAAAATTACAAGCGAGTCCGAATGGGATGATTACAAGGCAGTTGTGTTGGCCTCCGAAGTGCGATCTTTGGATTTGGTGGTAACTAAGGAGTATGGCATAGGAATTGAGAACATTGAAGCATGCCCATCGTTCGACACTCACATAGAGAATGGTCCTTCACTAGAAGAAGAAATAGTTCTCACACAACCAACCTATGGCGGTATTGAAGGGTTAAGATCGACCGAGGGAGATGAAGGTTGTTGTGATGGCGTCGGAGATGATCACGACAATGCAGGAGCCGATGGTGATGACAATTATGGTAGCGATGATGATGATAAGTCTTATGGAGTTGGTGAGAGAGAAGAAGCTTTGGACAACGCTAGTAGAGATGACTTAATTGATGATGATCTTAGTGACGAAGCTGATCTTAGTGGCAAAGATGACTTTGGCGATGCTAGGGCTATGAACTGATTTGATATGGAGGTAGCTGGAGATGATGAAACCTTTATAGAGGAATTAGCTGAAGACTCTGACGACGATCGTCCTGTTCATCATCTCGATGATAGGAAAATAGAGATATTGAGGAGGGTGTTTCCTGGGAGGGATCCACTAGTTCATGATTTCGAGGACCTTAGCCATGGGCACAGGGCAATAGCTGATGGAGTACCAAGTGATACAACAGTACCTGATGTTAGTGGTTGCAACATCATAAGGAAGGGCATT